GGCGGGGGGAGGGGACACGGCGCCCCCGGGCGGACGGAGGGGGGAGGGGACACGGCCCCACAGCCCGGGCGGGGGGCGGGGGGAGGGGACACGGCGCCCCCGGGCGGACGGCGGGGGGAGGGGACACGGCGCCCCCGGGCGGGGGGGCGGGGGGAGGGGACACGGCGCCCCCGGGCGGACGGCGGGGGAGGCCGGCCGCTCCGCGCGCACTGACCCCCGCTGCGCCCTTCCCCGCAGGTGGAACGTGCTGGGGCTGCAGGGCGCGCTGCTCTGCCACTTCATCGAGCCCGTGTACCTGCACAGCATCATCGTGGGCAGCCTGCACCACACCGGCCACCTCTCCCGGGTGATGAGCCACCGGACCGAGGGCATCGGCCAGCTGCCGACCGCCTACCGCCACAACCGGCCGCTCCTCAGCGGTAAGAACGCCGTCCCCAGCCCGCCACGACGCCCTCCCATCGGCCGGCCCCCGGGGCCCCTCCCCGGGCGCACACGCCCATTTCGGCCAGTGGCTGTGTAAGATTTAGCGGCGAAGGTACAAACCGGAACTCGGAACGAGAGCGTCCCGGTGCGTCCCGCAGGCGGGAGTGGGCGCAGAGGTGGGCGCAGAGGTGGGCACAGCGCTCGGCGACCTCGTAACCGGGCGTGCGCGGTGCCCACCGTCCTGTGGCCGTTCAGCAGGACTTCCCATCCCGCCAGTGCGCTCCGTGCAAGAGTCTTGATGGAGGCCCGGGGTCACACGGCGTCACACGGGGTCACACGGCGTCACACGGGTCTGTGATGGAGGCCCGGGGTCACACGGCATCATACGGGCTCACACGGGGTCACACGGGTCTGCGATGGAGGCCCCGGGGTCAGAGACGGTCACAGGGGTCTGTGATGGAGGCCCTGGGGTCACACAGGGTCACGTGGAGGGTGGACAGCCCAGCCCCGGCAGCCCCAAGTGCTTGCAGGAGTCAGGGGTTCCAGGAAGCACATTTCAGACGCAACAAAGTAATTCAGCAAACGCTGAGCCAGGGGCACAAGTCTGGTGTCCTAACGCAGAAACCAAACCTTCCGAGCCTCAGTGTGCCCACTGCAGAATGGGGCCTGCCGGCCGCGGCCCACACACAGCAGGTCATGAGGGTCCAGAGTCGGTAGCCGTGAGCGCTTTGGAGTCTGTGACCTTCTCGCAGTGGGGGCAGAGCTCTGGATCTCGGGGTCTTGGAGCACAGCGTGTAATGTGGCCACTGGGCCCCCATCACAGCCTCTGTCCTGCTTCCTGAGGACGCGCCTCCCCAGAGGACCCAAGGGGACACCGCGTGGAGGTGACCGCACAGTGCAGAGGTCGCCTGTGGACTGAGGAAGCAGGAACACCATTCCCACCTGGGGGGAAGGGGCAGGGCCCGCGGGTCTGTGAGATCAACGGCCACCAACGGCCATCTTAAGTCTCGGACCCGATGGGGGGTGGGGGGCGGACCACGAAAACGAAGGGTGTTCAGGGCCGCGGCTCCGAGCTGGGCCAGAGACCCACTCCCAGGATTCTGAACTTGCTCTAAATGACACAATCAGGGTGACGACAGTGCCCCACAGGGGTGAGGGTGAGAGCAGGCGTGGTTCACGAGCAGCACTTTATGACACTTGGCACGGATTTAAGAAAAGACGCCTCCACGTTTGCTCAGTGTGCTCACCGACCAGCCACCAGCCACCACCTCGCACGTGCTGCTCCGGGAAGCCTGGAGCTGGGCTGGCGTGACCGGCCAGGTCCCCGCTGCGTCACACGTGAGATCCCATTCCTAGGACCCCAGACCCAGAGCCAACAACTACCTCTCTGCTGCCGAGGGAGGAGGTGTGGCCTCAGGCAGTGGGTCCTCAGGTTAGAGTCCAGGGGCATCAGTGTCCAGTGAGGGCGCCTCGCGGTCGGCGAGGCCGTCTGAAACGGGGCCACACAGTCTGTCCAGGAGCGCAGGACAGCGCCATCCTCTAGGGCTGGCCTTTCCCTGCTGGCCCCGGGCCGCTCCTGTGTGACGGGGTCCATTCGTGAGCACTGGCCGGGGCGGCACTAACACCGTCAGCACGGCAGGTCTCCGCAGCACCGTCCTCACTCGAAGCCCTGGGCCCAGGACCACAGGCTCCGCCCGAGCCCGAGCCGACGCCCGAGGGGCCGGGTCTGCACGGCGCACACGGGTCTCCTGCTGGGAGCGGCCGCGTCACCGGCGCGAGGGAAGGACACAGCCGCCCGTCCTTCTCAGCACCACAGACACGGCGCAGGACGCTCATCACGCCAACCGTCCCACGTCACGGGCGTGGGAAGAACTTCAGTCACTTGCTGCGACGCTCCGTCTGTCACCACTCGGCCCGATTACGGAGCTAAGCTCTTTGCCCTTGCCACGCGGCATCCCGTGGCCCCCAGCACCACATTTTTAATCCCATAAAAGTTAATAACACGAAATGGGAGAGGCCAACAGCCCGGGGCCAGCCTGTGCCCACACAGCCCGGAAGCTCACTGCCCGCTGGGCCGGCCTCACGGGACAGCGGCAGACACTGGCCTCAAATTCAAAGTTTATAAAATTATATTTTTTTAATTTTTACAAGTTTATTTTGAGGGGGGGATGGGGAAGGGCAGAAAGAGAATCCCAAGGAGGCTCTGAGTTGTCAGTGCAGAGCCGGATGCGAGGCCCAAACTCATGAACCGTAAGATCATGACCTGAGTCGAAATCAAGAGTCGGACACAACTGACTGAGCCACCCAGGCGCCCCGCATTTATTATTTTAAACAGTTGGTAGTTTCAGGAATTCTGATAAAATAGTGCTTTAGCTCAGTTTCAACATCTTTCTTTTACGGTTCCTTTTTTTTTCCCTCAAAATGGCGAAGAACACTTACTTCTGACGGTTGAGCCGAGACCACAGCTGCAGCGCGGCCCCCAGGAGGCCTGGAAGGGCTGCTTTGGCGCCCGTGTGGGGCGCCGCACACCTCAGGAAGGTCCTAGGTCCTGAGGGACCGTGCGAGGACTCTCATCTGTCCACACGGGCACCACGTGGCATCCTTCCCCAGGCTTCCGGCTCCTCAGGCGGCCTCTCTCCTTCACGCTCCTCCCCCAGGGAGGAAGTCGCTTGAGCTGCACGAGCACAAGGAATACGGAAGGTGCGTCCTTACCAGCCTCCGCCGAGGGCTGGTTTTCATCCATCCTCGGGTACCACACGCTACTGCTGGCTGCCCGCTCTTCTTGCAGTGGTTTTTAGAAATCATAAGTTCAACTGGGAATGTGTACGCAGAGATGAAAACAGGAGTTATGAAGTATAAGTGTGAAACCAGTGAACTTTTAAAAATATAATTAGAGAAATTCAGAACACCTGAAATCGTCAGGTGGCGGTAACCTGATGGCAAAGCACCGGAGACCCGCGTGAATCCCCATCCCACTGTCCAGCGGGGACTCACCCCTATTTACACCAATTTACAACCAAGACCGTCTGACTAGACACTTCAGTCCACACTTAGACGCCTGTTTAAAATACAGTCAGGGGCGCCTGCGGGGCTCAGTTGGTTTGGCGTCAGACTTCGGCTCAGCTCACCATCCCGTGGTTCGTGGGTCCCAGCCATGAGTCGGGCTCTTCGGATGCTCCATCTCCCTCTCTGCCCTCCCCCCACTCATGCACTCACACTCCATCTGTTTCTCTCAAAAATAAATGAACATTTAAAAAATAAACTCAATAAAATACAGTTTTTATCATTCCCAAGATGCAAGGCACCCCAGGAACCCCCGCCGCGGTGTCTGTCTCACCCACATGCTTTGAACTGCAGCGTCTGTGCTGCTCTTGATGGGTATCTAAAAGCCACCCATCCAAGTTTTGAAAGGAAATCATCAGGATTTTTTTGCAACAGAAGAGAGAGAGAGCTCTTATATGAGGATAATAATGAAAAGCACACACTCAAATAAGCACATGAAATCTTCTTGAAGATTCCTTCAAGGTCAGTTTGCAAAATTGCCCGAGAAGATGAAGCCCACGTATTAGTGGAAGGAGTCCTGTGTTTAGCTACGGCTCGATCAGCTCTGGCTGAGCAAGAGGCAGCGAGCTGAGACAGGTGCCCTATGGACACGGTTATGGGGTACGCTAAGGTCCTCCAAAGGTATCTCGACCCATTCTGCACAGACCAGCCTACACCTATGGGCAAAACACCGCAGTGCGGACATCCACACCTCAGCTGCCGAGCACCCCGAACCCTTCAGTGAGAGTCACACCGCTGGGTGGGAGCAGCCACCATACAGGAGCTTGCATATTCAATACAGTGAAAAAAATGGTGATGATGATAATCAATAAAAATCTGCTCCCTGAATACTCATCTTTTTAGGAAAACACGAAGTGACACACAAAGTGACCCTGAAGCCTGTTCTTCCAGGCTGGGGATATGGTGTGTCTGAGCTTCCGCCCTCAGGAGTAAGTTTTATTTTTCCTCATCAAGGAAAAGAATCCCAACCAAGGCGGACAATCTGGGCGGGAGCCCAGGTTCTGTGCTCCTCTTCACTGCATATTTAAACAGATCTCGTTTTCAATGATGAGCCTTCGCAGGCCACACTGAAGATAAAACTTATAGTTTCCTAGCCCACAGCAAGGTCTTGGCAACGAAGACGAAATCTGGGAGATGGACCCGGGGAATTGGATGTTAGAGCCACGAGTTATTTCGGACCTCTGGCCCCCGTGCCCGTGATGGAAATCACAGGGCGGCGCCCAGCGGGCACCTCCCTGCCCGGCGCACATCTTCCGGGAAGGGCAAAATGGCTCGCTGGCGTGTCAGAGCCTTCTCAGCCTCCGTGCTTCTCAAGGAGTTGGATGCACTGAAGTGTCCAGCGACACAGCCCGCAAGTCCTGCCCCTCGCCACCTGCCGCTTGTGTCCAGACGCCTCTCATTAGGGGGCGGCCGGGGGCGGGCTGGGGGACGAGGTCTATTGCCGTGCATTGCCACGGTTTTGTGAGATCCAAAGTCTTGTCGCTCAGGATGTAGAATCTGATGAGGAGAGCCGAGTCTCTTTAATTCAGGAGAAATTTCTGAAGTTAATGGTCATTAATAGTGTCTTGCAAAACAACCCAGTGGGGTAGGAGCAAACATTGTCTTTTATGCTGATGGTAATGAATTTGCAATATTATTTTTATACTAAAATAAACATGGGTTTATTATGGAATAACGTACAAATTTTTCATAAATGTTTAGGATAAAACACATGGGCTTAAAAGTATATCTGAGCAGCTGCTTCTCTTGGGGTTGTTAGAAGTAGATTTATCTCCTGAGCCCTTGAAGGAATCTTTGGTAGAAAAAAATTATTATAATATCTTGCTAGAATTATTATTGCTTGCTAAAATTATATCTCGCTAAAATTATATCTTGCTAAAATTATTGCTATATCTTGCTAGAATAATCTAAAGGCAATCCTAATATCTTTGCA